TAGCGAGTACTCTAACCCTCACTCATGCATGCTGAGCTAATGGAGTTTCCAGTAGCATCGATCCCAGGCCTTCTCCTCCTCCCCACATTTATAATAATATATTTGGTGGACCTTTGCACTATGCTCAGAAGGAGGGAGAAGGCCTAGAAGATTTTCATCACGTGATACGGGGCACAAACGTCACCTACTTCACTCGTACATAGTAAATTATGTGTATAGCTTATGGTGTGACGTCTTTCGTGCCACGTCATGAAAAACTTTTAAGGATTCTCCCTTCTTTAACTTGCGCATGGTTTTTAAGGCGTATACATATAGGCAGAAGGCCTGAGCTAGATACCCAGAACATGGCAGCAGTTTGTTTAAGTTCGATGGCCAACTGATTCCTCTTTCTCTCCCTCTCTCTCACAGGGCACAGGATGGTCAGCTCTCCACTTCTCTGCTGAGAGGAGACTGGGATACCACACAAGCACTCTGGAGGCAGGAGCCAGTCCTCGACCTCAAAGACAAGGTTTGTGGTAGGGCTAGCAAAAGGAATCATCTTCCTTTCATCTCCTGAGTATCTTCATCCATCACGGTTTCAGCTTTCTCCATTCCCTGTACAAATGGACTGACAGCTTGGAGATTGCTGGGTCAGGGTGAGGAGGAGAGGAGGGAGGCCTATACATCACGAAGAGGACTCAGTATACTATGAGGGAGTTGATTAGTCTTCTGAGGAACATTGCAAGAAGAACCAACTGCACAACAGTCATCATGTGAGTATCACTCTGTGTGTAGGTTCTGGTGTGGTTTAGAAGTATCCTGTTTAGATAAAGAGAGTTACATATGTGGTATTGGTTAGTGTCGATCGTTTGTGAGCATTGTGCATGTGTTATACTAAACTATGCAGATGATTGCCATGTCATGTCCAAAATTCACGTGTGTCTGTAGGAGTCCTCAGACTGGGCCATGACAGTGCTCCTTCCACTCAACAGGACAGCTCTACTTCGATCAGGACACCCCTCCCACTCAACAGGACATCATAGATACCACCCAGATCACCTCTCATCAGAGAAGAGGAAGAAGAAACATTATCTCAGGTCTGTGCACCTGTGTGTCTCCACATCAGACTGATTCATCAACAAACACGTACTCCTCTCTTTGTCCAGGCTCTGAGAACCTGGTGAACAGGTCAGGACAGATAGCAGTCAGATCTTCAATGACCTGGACAGACGTCTCAAGTCAGCTGACAAGAAAGACCAGCCAGGGCTGCAGAGCAGGAGTTAGGGTGCAGGGAAGAGAGGGAAACAGAAAAATGGACAGATAGAAACAGACGAAAGAGCGTTCTGGAACCAGACACCTCCATCTATTTAGTACTGTCAAGTAGATGTGTCCACTTTTTTGACTTTTTAGGTGTATTTCCTTTATCCACTTTCTAAAAATGCATTTTGTCGTGTGTGTATTAATTAATTATTGTTGGAGGTTGACAAGTAGCCTGCACCTATTGCCATTCTCTGAGTTTGCTGAGATAGGGACGATCTCTGTATATACAATAGAAAGGACTTTTCACTCTTTGCACGCCATGGTATGTCTGCTAAATACTATTATAATGATGTATAAAGTATTAGGCTATGTATAATATATGACACCATATGTATTAAAATGCTTATACGGGTATGTGAGGCTGCCGACTCATGTGTCCGTGGCTGGTTAAGTGTCCAACCCCATTTAATAATTTGACCTGCAGAGATAATTATAATATTATAGGGACGACATATCTACGTTCTACGTATACAAAGGACACTTGTGTTCAAACCCCAGCTAATACTTTAGCGTACAATTAATTTGACCTCCAAGGTAGGGACGAACTCTCTACAAGTAAAACATCGTTTGGCTGTAATTATAGCACAAAGGGGCCATTTAGCTAAACTTAGCTAAAAACACATGTTTACTCATGTCAGAGTACACAGTCGTAGTGTAGATGGACCAGCGAACACTTTGTACAGCTGTTATGCTTAATTATGCAACATCAATGGTTCGCACTCACTTGCACCAATTTTAAATGTATTTCTTGCATGCATTTGTACAAATTCATATTACTAGCTAAGCATTTTTGGCGAGCGGGAGCGACCCAAATGCAGATCAGGCATGGTTAGCATGTTTGTGCAGAGAAGGTATGCAGACGTATAATATAAGGGTTTTCATGCGGGTTGTGCGTATATTTTGTTATAATTATTATCAGAAGAAGAAGCTGAACAGAATCTCTGACGGAGTTTCTAGCGCTCGTCTCCGGCGGTCAGCGACTCTCATCTGTTGCAGGCGTGTGTCACGATTTTGAGATGATCGTGCTTCACGACATGCTCTCTCCCGTGCCCGACGTTGCGACAGGCGCATCTCTCTCTCCTCGGCCGTCTCAGAAGCAAGACGCTGTCGCCGGCGAGCACGTTGCCCTGCTAGTCGGCGGTCCTTGGCGTGGGCGGTTTCTGAAGCGCCACTCCGTCTCTGTCTCTCCCTACGCCTAGCTAATCAGCGGTCCCGGGCGTCGACGGTTTCTGAAGTGCGACTCTGTCTCTGTCTCTCCCTACGCCTAGCTAATGAGCGGTCCCGGGCGTCGACGGTTTCTGAAGCACGACGCTGGCTGTCTCTCTCGCTACGCACTGAAGGATGCATGACAGTTGTAATGAAAAGCACTAAAGTGCAAACCCTCGGCGAATTGCGCATAATATGCGGTACCACTAATAATTGATGGGCTGAGCTTTTTATGCCTTTACTCGTGGTATCCCGCTAGTACAGCTCGCGGAGAGTCTGGCACGGCTAGCTACAGTCGTAATTAGCACATGCGGTGTCGTATACATGCCTTCGTTGTTGACTTCTCTTGTGCTATCAAGACACAGACGTCGAACGGACGACGGTGGTCGAGGTCAGCCTGTGCTAATTTCATATTGCTTGTGTTCACTTGTTTGCATTTTCATCGCCAGAACTTTAAACACAGTAGTTTTTATTACGAAAATCGCTTTTTTTTTTTTTTTAATTTTTTGTTGTTTTTTTTTTTGTTTTTTTTTTTAAATGGTTTTTTGTTGGTTTTTTTTGTTTGGGTGTTTTTTTTTGTTTTTTTTTTGGTGTTTTTTTTTAGGGGTGAAGATTTGTGGTGTTTTTTTGTTTTTTTTTTTTTTAGTGTTTGTTCTTTGTTTTTTTTTTTTTGTTTTTTTTTTTTTTTTTGTTTTTTTTTTTTTTTTTTTTGTTTGTTTTTTTTTTAAAAATCAACCCAAGGTAGCACTGGACCCCGATCAATCGCTATTACCTGATTTCGTGCGAGAGCACAGTGGGTGCAGAAAAGTACCCGGTAACGACAACTGACAGGACTGACAGACTGACAGACACCTTACGGGACAACTAACGTAACCTCGCTGCGCATGCGCGCCGAGGGTTAACTACTACACACGTGGAATGATAATTATTTAGAGTCACGTAGAACATTACGCATTACGGTATGTGTCGCATCGACGGATAGGAAATTCGGCCCGTTGCTAGGTTGGCTCGCTTCCGCTCACCAATTATACAACAGAAAGAAGCAGCATAAAGTTCAACTCGCCACGAGGACATTTCCACAAAGGAGTCTCCCTCGGCCAGTCTCCCTGGAAGTCTGTCTCACGTGGGACAGGTAGAGAGCCATCCCTCGCAGGAAGTCCTTTGGCTGACCAATGTCCATCGATCCAGAACCCTGATGACACTCTCCATGATGACCTCCAGACATGTAGTGTAGCTCTGTACATGGCTTTCCCACTGTTTCGGTTCCAACTCTCTCCACCACGATGGAGACTCTGCAGTTATCAGAGTGTAGTGAAATAAAAACAAGCCATTCTGAGGGAGCAATGAACTCTCATGAGCACAGGGGCTTTAAATGAGCACATCTAGTTGAGTATAGAGTACATCATCCTCTCTAACATCCAACATTCATGTGTCTAATACATACTGTATATACATGTGTCAAGGTCTATTGATCAAGTTATACTATTGGGTCAGACAGTATAGTGATAATTATGGTTTCGTAATAAACCCTAGTTGTAGGTACAGATGAAGTACCCTCCAGGTCAAGGCAAGAGCTGTCGTCCTGAGCCATGATGGGAAACACCTCTTTCTCCGTGACATAAACTTCACTAAGACATGAGGTGGGGAGAGGTTTAAAACCAAGCGCGAACTCTCGATATAATAATAGCTAGTTCATCGTCATCTGTTGCACTGTTGAGTACCAGACGGATAGAATGAGGATAAGAGCAGGACACACTCCAACGACATAACGTGCTACGCTGCCAGTCAGTGCCACGTTAGTCGTAGGTTTTTAATGTTCTCTGTCAGTTCTTACATGATTGAAGCACAAGAAAAGCACATGCTGAGCTGTAAGCTACACATGTAGTACTAAACAGCATGCCAAGACATCTTCTCATAAGTACTCCACATTGCCATTATACCCTGGCTGGCTCCACCAACACAATTCATTATGTCCTAGCTCATGACACACAGTGGTCAGTGGATCATATGCAATTGTGGCCGGACTCGACTGGAGATGGTCTGTACTATTCCCATGCCCGTAAGTGGCTAAGTGTGGTGCCTCGATCAAGGATCAACTTCTTTACTCTTGAGGAGGTAGGTACTGGAGATAGAGCAACCGTTGATGTGATAACAGGTTTCCTGGAGCTGCCTAGGGTGACTGCTGACATCGACTTGGACACTGACTTACGGTGCAATGAGAATTAACAACACATTATAGACTACAAGAGCGATCCAAGACTGAAAATGAGGGAGGACACAAAACAGATTCTAGATTTTTTCAACCCTATAACCAGATGCTTGCAGAGCTGCTAGGAGATGACAAGTTCTTATGGAACTCTGCATAGATTTCCTTCATCTTTTTTGTTGCACATTGTCAATTTTTTAATCCTCAATTTCCCTTTGACACTACCGTGTAAGTGTAACGTGCTCTTCATGTTACGTGTTTTTTTTGTGCCCAAGTCTTGGTTTATGCACATGCGCAATGGGCGGAGAAAAGGAGGATGTGGTGATGAGAACTGTGCGTGCGTGACGGAGAACCAACGGAAGGGATAGGGCTCATTGCTTCGTGCCTACATTGAGTCCTATCGGTGTTTTCTAAAGAAAGCACGTTGGCGTGTATGCTCAGTCCAGCCTTGGCCAGTCGGTTCCTGTCTCTTCCTTCGTTGTTTACGGCTACGAGACGACACTCGCTTCCCCTGAGTCCTGTTCTGCTGACAAGAAGAGGACCATTACTGTCACGGACGGCAGCTCTCTCCTCTCCTCCACAGCATGCAGCCACTGCTGGTAACATGAGCAGCCTGGAGGACCTGGTGTTTGACAACAGAGCCCTGAAGAGCCTTCCCATTGATCCAGAGACTCAAAACTATGTCAGGAGTGTGGGCAGGTCGGCTTCTATCACTGCTGCTTAGTATAGAGTACCGTGTTATATACCCATTCTGTTATGAAACAATGGCCTAACAGCTGTTTTTTACTGAAGGTGCGTGCTTTTCCCGTGTCAGACCCACACCTCTGAGCAATCCTCGACTCGTGGCCCACTCTCCGTCTGCCCTCCGTCTTCTGGGACTCTCTCCTGACCAGGTCACTCTCCGTTTTGCATTATTGAGGTGCTGTTTTGTATTCATCTACGATATTATTGTGCATCAAATATTGAATCCTTCATTCATACACGTCCTTCATCCTTTAGTAGAAAGGTGTCCTTTTTCCATCCACTTGTGAACATGACTATGTGTACAGGTGTCACGACCAGGGTTTGTGGGGTACATGAGTGGGAACAAGATACTGCCAGGCTCAGAGCCGGCCTCTCACTGCTACTGTGGCTATCAGTTTTGGACACTTCTCTGGACAACTGGGAGATGGCTGTGCGGTAGGTTTGGTAGTCTGTGCTCAGTGAGTCATAAACCTTTAGCTCTAGCCCCATTCCCTGCCCGGTAGGTTAGGTTGTCTCTTTTTGTTTATTAGTATGTACAATGCACGCTTTCGCCATCCAGGGTGTGATTAAGGCATACAGGGGCTTTTGCTCCCTCTCTCTCACACATCCGCACACGCACACACACACATTGTCGCTACCTGGGGAGAGGTGGTGGGTCCAGGAGGTCAAAGGTGGGAGCTGCAGTTAAAGGGATCGGGGAAGACCCCCTACTCACGGTTTGCTGATGGCAGGAAGGTCCTCCGTTCCTCAATCAGAGAATTCCTCTGCTCTGAGGTACAAACTGAGATTTGAATGGCAGATGATAAACTTTTCTATTTGTATACAACCACCAGGCCATGCATTATCTTGGAATTCCAACTACAAGAGGTAAATTCAAGCATGTTGAGAAGTCACGTGGTGGTAGAGGATGTCTTTCTCCCTGGTGTTCAGCTGGTTCCTGTATCACATCAGATGACACTGTGACCAGAGACATTCTCTACAGTGGACACCCCATCCAGGAGAGGTGTACTGTCATCACCAGAATTGCCCCCACCTTTATCAGGTCTCTCCTTCACAATCCACACTGCTTACAGTATAGTCCTCATGTGTGAATTGAACGTACCTTTATATTCTCCTGGGTTTTATACTGATCTTGTGTATAGTTACTGATATGTTTGCAACAACCCTGAAGCTCTAAAGGGGATGTGGCAGTACATAAGGGCTAAATTTAGAAATGTACTAAAGACAGAACAAAATGAAAGGCACTGAAGTGCAAACCCTCGGCGCAGTGATAACGTAAAGTAATGGGTGGGGCAATGGTATGACCAGGTCTGGTATATAGAATTGTTGTACACATACTGGTGCTGTATTTAGGTTCATAGATAAGATTATTCTTTCCTCCCAAGCCTAACCTAGTGAGCTACATTTATTTGGAGGCATACTTACAGAACTCAACCGTCTTCTCAGTCTAGTCTCACAGAGAAATGAGGGAAAACAAAAATGGCTGCTGGCCACGTGGTCCCAATCAGCCTGCGCCGCTTTGGCCGCCTGCCGCCTCGGAGTCGCGTTTATACACACATGCGCGTTGTTAAAATGCCCGCCCTTGCCGTACCGTATATACGAACAGGAAAACCCTCTAGCCCTGCAACGAAGCAGTTTCACAGAAAATGCCACATATTTTCTGACCTCCGTCGACCGCTGGGTATGTAAACCCGTTTTGGACGTGATCTATGACTGGAGAAGTGAGTTCTCACTTAACTGACAGATTGAATGAATGAATGAATGGCACACACAATAACTCTCGCTGCGCATGCGCGCCGAGGGTTAACAATAGGGGCACAGTCAAAGAGTTCTTTTTTGTAAATTTAGCCCTTATATACTGCCTCACTCCCTTTAAGGGAAAATGGAATGTGACTGTATGAGGGCTAAATATCAATAGGGCCCAGTGGCCACATCTTTGAATGTACATACCCTGTATTAATTTGACACAACCCCCTGTGGTCATCTTTTGAAAATGTTAGATTTGGATCATTTGAGATATTCAAGACGAGGGATAGGGAGACAGGTCGTGTGGGGCCAAGTGTGGGACGTGAGGACATTCTCCACCAACTCATAGACTTTGTCACTCAGTCCTACTACCCTCAGGTATGTATCTTTCTCACATCTTTATTTAAAGCCAATTTCTGAGTTAACACTTTGTGCACTATGTTAAGCCAAGCTTACTTCGCCCTCTGAATTGTGTTAATCGTCTGTACAATTTTAATGTAACTTGTAAAATTACTCTTGCTCGCCCCAAATTTTGTACTGTATATAATATGTACATGACACTTGATTGTTGAATGCCGATGTGGTGTGATGCAGTTGACTTGTTTGCTTGCCATTGCCTTGCTACCTCATTGTTGTCACATACAAAGCAACTTGAGCCCATGTGGTGTGTCTCAGGTTCATATCCAGGAGCCAGAGGACAGGAGAGCCAGGACTGCTCTCTTCTTCAGAGATCTGTGTGTGAGGACTGCCCACCTGGTGTCTGCCTGGCAGTGTGCCGGCTTCTGCCATGGGTTAGTTTAGATCTCCCTTTCTTCCTTATACTTATTATGATCTTCGATATATGTAACTTTTCACTTACTATAGTGTAAATACATTGACTCAATGTGTCTATATTGACAATTTGACATGTACAGTGGAACCTCCGAACAAGGGACACTATAGGCCAATGATTTTGTCCCTTATATAATTTGTCCCTATAGATCATCTAAAACGAGTGTCCTTTGTCCTTTGTCCCTTTCCCGGATGGTTCCTTATTACTGAGGTTCCACTGTACACCACTACAGAGTTCTCAACACTGACAACATGAGTATAGTGGGAGTGACCATTGACTATGGTCCCTATGGATTCCTGGACAGATACGACCCTGGACACATCTGCAATGGCTCGGGTATCTGTCATCCTACAATGTGTGTACTGATGTTTCATTTTCTCCATGCAGACAATGAGGGTCGATATGCCTATGACCAGCAGCCCAGAGTGTGTCGGTGGAACCTGGGCAAGTTGGCCGAGGCTCTCTCTCCTCTTCTCTCTGAAGAGGACACTCTCCTCGCACTACAGCTGTACGTTTACACATCATCTCCTGATGACTTGTACAGTATGTTCTTTGCAGCTATGATTCTGAATTTGAGAAGAGCTATCTAAAGAAGATGAGATTAAAGGTAGAGAGAATGTTTTGAAGTATTAAAATAACTGATACTGTGGTGTGTGTGTGTGTGGTGTGTGTGTGGTGAACAGCTAGGACTGTGTAAGGAGGAGGAGGATGACAGTGATCTGATAGAGTCTCTACTGGACACAATGCATACCACTGGTCAGTAGCAGTGTACTGTCGATGTGTTGGTGTCGTGAAAGACATCCTCTTCTGTAGGATGTGACTTTACCAATGGATTCCAATGTCTCAGTCGAGTGACAATTCCTGAGAGTCAAGACTCCACAACAGAGAGGTATATAGGTGATTGGTCTCATCCTCCGTCAGTTCTTCTCCGTGTGATTAGCCTCACTTATTGAGGAGCTTGGGGATGGCTAGTGAATGTATATATTCATGGTGCCATCATTACTGCTAGCGTAACTGATAAACTGTATATTGTATAGGGAGATTGAGGAGGTGGTGGAGTATCTCCTGGAAGAATGTGCCTCTCCTCAACAACTGGTCCAGTCCAACAGACCAAAGATGCCACCTCAGTCAGTCAGTCACAGACACTCTGACATCCTTTTCTCCTTGTTGTATATGTTTTAAGTTCGAGCCTGGCCATCTACAACTGCGTCGGTAGTTCTGCCCAGAATGTAGGTTGTCTTTGTGTGGCGGGGTGCTTAGTCGTTGTGTTGGTTCTTGTTGATGTACTTATTGAAGTGTTAGTCCCAGGGTATTAATCCCCTCCTACACTCCCGTGCAGTCAGCTGCACATGTTCCAGCAGCTGATGGAGACGGCGCCAGAGGTGCTGCAGGCTCTGGGTCTGAGACCTGAGTCCCTCCAGCAGGAGATTGCCAAAATGCAGAACATGGACAAACTCAAGGTCCTACTCTTGTTCATACTGGGAAACTCAATGAGACACAGTAGAACCTCCAATAAACAAAGGACAAAGGATAAACCTCTCAATAAAGAACACACTTTAATGTCCCAAACATTCACTTTTTAAAGAGAGGACAACATCTCCCCATAAGAACGACAAAATGTCTGGTTCCAACCTGTCTACTTCAGGAGGTTGCACGGTATATTCAAAATAGCTATTCAGGCGAGTACAGTTACAGCTGTCTGTGTGTTGCTAGAAAGTGGGAGCTGCACATTGTTGTGGGTGTGTACAGGAGATGAGTGTGGAGGAGAAGAGGAGTGGAGACAGAGCGGTGTGGCTGGAGTGGCTGTCGAGGTACTCTCATCGACTCCACCGAGACCTGGACTCTGGGACTGATGTCTCCAAGGTATATACATATAGTTATGCGTGGCCAGCTGCACCACTGTGTCAATGAACATGAGTTTGTTGAGTTAGTTTGGCTATATAGAGCAATAGGAGAAAACTTGGGACGAAAATCTTCAACATTCTCATTTTAAATACTGGAATGTATGCACAAAAGCTTGAAGGAAGATGATTATCATCTGTTTTAATAGTTACACATCTCTTCCTCCAGGTTAATGAGGTTCGTCTCTCCACCATGAAACAGAATAATCCAAGGTAACAAACAAAATTGGTTAGGAGACATAAGTTTATGTAATTGTCTCACTGACAGGTTTATACTCCGCAACCACATTCTACAGACTGCCATAGAACATGCAGAGAAAGGAGATTTCTCTGAGGTGAGATTACAGTCAAGTATCACGGAATAGCTCTTATGTCCATCAAGGTGTTCACATTGAAAGTGTGTTGTTCTCCAGGTCCGTCATCTGTACCAGATGCTGCAGACACCCTACCAGCATGTGGGAGGAGTGGGGTCTCCTGGACCAGTGGTTGAGGCCAGGGAGGATGGAGGGACTGTGGCTTCTCGTGATAGGGGAGGGAGAGGAGAGGGAGGGGAGGAGGCGGGAGCTGTGGGGGGTGTGGCAGTGGGGTCAGCTGTCAGTCAATACTACAGCAAGCCACCAGACTGGGCCCTGACTCTGTGCGTCACCTGATCTTCCTAGTAGCCAGAGAACCAGGTTTGTTTGGCCATAGTAATAATCAGCTGTCTATGCAATATTTTTTTGGGAACAGGTGATGTTGGGGTTCTCTGGCAGTGCATATTATGCAGTCTGCAGTCAGGTGGACACAATGGTTCAACACTGCTGTTGGAGCAGTGGTAGTTATTATGACGGGTCAGACCTAAACCACTTGTGGCGGATGACCTCGATGATGAATCCACCCTGCATAATAAACTAACTTACTTATGCGCATGCGCACACTTGTATTTTTACGTGATGATGTAATCAGTAGAAGCGAGAGAAAAACAGAGGGCGGTTGCCAGTATTGTGTTGACTGTTCCCTCCTTTGGGGGGCCATCGCCAATCCGTTACCGATCATCTGCGTTTGCAAATATTAGAGGTAAGTGTAGGTCACTGTAAGTCTACCTTGTTGTGTGTTTGTGCTTATGGCTGAAATGGCGGTTCCCTCTCCCTTCACACGTGAAAGTGGTGTATATAATGGTCGGAAAATAATATACCGTAGCCTCGTGTATTGTGAGCAACGGCACGTCCTCTCTGTGGTGTAGAAGTGTGGCCGGTTATTGATCGCCTAGTCTAGCATCCAGACCCCAACCCTCTCCCAAGGAAAGAGGGTCTTGTCACACGAAAATTGGTCCCCCCCCCACCCCCCAAAAGCGGTCCCTCTGAACTTCCCGGAAGAAAATTGGTCCTCCGCACCGTCCACAGCAGAAAAATTTATCCCCCTAGGACCGTCCTCGACACCGCGGATGGTCCCCCCCCCCTGCCGCAGAAGGTCCACCTTGTCTATACTTTCTTAGTTTGTTTCACATTATTATAAATAAGGCTAGCTGCTATCAACTAGCAAAATTATTAATGTTCGTCGATCTGCCCCGCCCCCTTCTTTCTGCGCCATAAAATAATGCTGCTCCGTGTGCTTAGGACAGATGAAAAGTTTTTGTGAACATTAGTTTATTGCAAAACGATATGAAATCTCAAAATTTTCCACAAAAGCAATTTGTTATAATACACAAATCATGAAACCATTCACTGCAGGTATTGCACTGTATCAGTAGAGTAACACGCGCGGGCGACGACGTGAATGCGCCTGCAACGAAGTGAGACGGGGAGAAGACGTAACTGTGTAGCAGTTACCACCGAAAAACACATTGTGACACGGCTCAGTGACACTCAAAGATGCTAAGATATGACAGAGATACGGGTTCGCTTGATAGTGTGCATATTTCTGGTGGGGGACTGTGTGTTATGGGGGGGGGGGGGCAATTACGGCTGTCACGGACGTTCCGGGGGGACCTGTTTTGGCGGGGGACCATATACAGTGGAAATCTGATTAAGCTGTAGTATCCAAACCTCTCTTCTGGCATACGAGTCCCAAAAGTCCGCAGACGTGAAAAATCAAGTCATGAAGCCAATATGCTAATTACCACAGGCTTACACCTCCACCGGGTCCGCTTGCTCTGTGTATCTTGAAGGCACAAGAAGTCGCAACGAAGGGCGTGTATCAACCCCCGCATGCAATCTACTGCAGTAGCTAGCCAGTTTTAGACTCTCCGCAAGCTTCTAGTGTGAGACCAGGAGCAAACGCATACTAATAGCCCAGCCACATTTAATTAGTGACACCGCTCATGCGCAGTTCGCAGGGTTTGCACTGTAGTGTTTTCATTAGAACTTGGTTCTGAATCCGTTTCTACTTGTTGTTGCATAAGAGGCCTCACCTTCCCAAAGTCTTCGGACTTCAGATGCACTCTTCAAACTGTCAGCTTACATGTTTCCCCGGGGAATTTTTCACAAAAGTTTCCAGGAACCCCACTGCACCATTGCAACTAAAGATGGTAGAAGTACCAAAATTTTATATTGCTCCCTAGAACAGCACTTTGCAGAGATCGTCAATGTAGGTTTGTTTGCCTGTCTTTTCTCCTACTTGCTTGATAAAAGTACGAAACATTTAGTCCACCCTATTTTCCACAATCTCTATGATAATTTGGACTGTTATTGTCAATGTAATACGAATGATTGATTAGCCTGTCTTTTGCCCCACTTTCTTTCTTAAAGTACGAAACTTAAACGAAACTTGTAGCTTATGTCAAGTTTTCTATGTTGTAAGTTTTCCTGTCCTTCACCCCACTAGACTGGCCCGCATTCCACGCATGCGTAGAGAGAGGGTCTAGCTAAACCTGCACTCGATTGTTTTTTCAACATTGCCACCAATCACTCCGATGTTATTCATAGTTTATGTAAACAACCCACATGATATAACATTCCAGTAGATTGCAGGTTTGGCGAGACCCTTTATCTCTGCACGTGGCTTCACCGTGCATGCGTGAGCCGGAGAACGAATATCTACGGGCTAGATTATCACCCCCACTTGCTGCTAAAAAGTATGAAACTTCTGGCCACCTTATGGTACTTGGTTGTGTGTATGTGTGTGCTATTGTTGATGATTCTTTAAAACCTTTCTTTCCCCCTACGTGCTTGCTAAGAGCATGAGGCCACCTTTATTCCCCAGAAATTCTCTAGGAATTTTTGCACTGTAGTCTCCAACTATAATTATTGTTAGTGAATTCATTAATTGTCGGCACACATGTGCAGAAAGGGTTACAGTACTTGGTCTTCTCGTCTGTCTGTCTGTTTGTCAACGCTTATTCTGGTACTACAGGCAGCCTGTGATCAATACTAACAGCTTCAGAACTACGCGAGCCAGAAAACTGCAGTGATTTTCCTGAAACAACTGAGTTAGAGATATGCTGTAAAGCCAAGTGAAAAAGCCAATATGCATGATCGCACTGGGCTTACCTATAGACGTGATCCACTCACTCTGTCTACCTTGGAGGCAAAACAAGGCAAAACGAAGGGTGTGTTTCGACTCCTGCATCTACTAGTGGAGCTAGCCTATGTCAGACACTCACCAGCTACTATAAGCGTGGGAACCGCGAGTAAAGCATACTCATATCTCAGTCCATCAATTAGCTGTACCGCGCCAGCACAGTGCACCGAAGGTTTTCGCTTTAGTTGCGCTTTAGTGCTTTTCATCATGGTGTGCAGTTTTTCCTGTCCTCACCCCACGTCCATGCTAAAAAAACAAAGTTGAGGCCATTTTTCGCTGCACTCTCCAGGGACTGTCAATGTAATCAGGAAGGTTAGTTCGCCTGCCTTTTTACGTACTTGTTTGCTAAAAGTACGAAAGTTAAGGCCACCTTATTTTCACTCCGTGGGATAATTTGCGATACACTCTCCTGCTATTGTTGATGATTCTTTAAAACCTTTCTTTCCCCCTACGTGCTTGCTAAGAGCATGAGGCCACCTTTATTCCCCAGAAATTCTCTAGGAATTTTTGCACTGTAGTCTACAACTATAATTATTGTTAGTGAATTCATTAATTGTCGGCACACATGTGCAGAAAGGGTTACAGTACTTGGTCTTCTCGTCTGTCTGTCTGTTTGTCAACGCTTATTCTGGTACTACAGGCAGCCTGTGATCAATACTAACAGCTTCAGAACTACGCGAGCCAGAAAACTACAGTGATTTTCCTGAAACAACTGAGTTAGAGATATGCTGTAAAGCCAAGTGAAAAAGCCAATATGCATGATCGCACTAGGCTTACCTCTACTTAGACGTGATCCACTCACTCTGTCTACCTTGGAGGCAAAAGAAGGCAAAACGAAGGGTGTGTTTCGACTCCTGCATCTACTAGTGGAGCTAGCCTATGTCAGACACTCACGAGCTACTATAGCGTGGGAACCACGAGTAAAGCATACTCATAGCTCAGTCCATCAATTAGCAGTACCGCGCCAGCACAGTGCACCGAAGGCTTGCACTTTAGTTGCGCTTTAGTGCTTTTCATCATGGTGTGCAGTTTTTCCTGTCCTCACCCCACGTCCATGCTAAAAAAACAAAGTTGAGGCCATTTTTCGCTGCACTCTCCAGGGACTGTCAATGTAATCAGGAAGGTTAGTTCGCCTGCCTTTTTACGTACTTGTTTGCTAAAAGTACGAAACATTTAGGCCCCCCAATTTCCACAGTCACTCCCTTGCAGTGCACTCTCCAGCTATTGTCAGGATGGTACAGGTTGGCCTGTCCTTCACCCCACTTACTTCTCTTCACATGTCGTCGACCCTCATCCGATGATATAGGGTTAATTAGTTGCTATCATGCAGGGAGTTAACATGTGTTTAGGACTGGACAAACTTGGGGACAGTGTGCCTTGTCCTCAGCAAGCATGCCTACATTTATATATTTACAATGGCTTGGGGTAACCAATATCCTACGTCCACACGACAAGTTTGCCTGTTCTTCATCCCACTAGTCTAGCCCGCAGACCCTCTCTCCAGTCCGCTCATGTATTGTGGGGCCGCACAGGGAGAGAGCATGTGCAGTGAGGCCGAGAACATAGAGAGAGAGTCTAGCCAAACCTGCACTTGAGTGCTTTTCCCATTGTGTTTCCAATGAACAACATTGGAGCAAATCTCTCCAATGCTATTCTTGGTTCACAGTACTATTGAAGGTCGCCTAGTTTATGTAAAAGACACACATGGTTATCAAATTCCAACATTCTAGTCAAACCCAATCAAGTGCAGGTTTGGGTAGACCCTCCATGCATGGCCTCACACCGTTGGAGCAAATATGGTTCACAGTATATACTACAGTTGTATTCAAGGTCTCCTAGTCTATGTAAACAACACACATACATTCTATATAGCCAAACCCAATCAAACGCAGGTTTGGGTAGACCCTTCATGCATGGCCTCACACCGCGCACGCTCATGTACGTGTGGGCCGGTCTGCATCCCAATTTGCTTGCTAAAAATACAAAACTTAAGACCACCTCATTATCTTGAAGTTATGATTATTACGACGTCGTTGCCGGCTAAGGTATATGCGTTAGTTCAATATCTAACCTCATACCGCAAGTTTTGAGAGTCTGGAGAATTAGGGAATTGTATTTTTGCCGCTATCACCTTCAAAATCTGCACAACTGGAGAGCGAAGCGAGTTTACCTTGTCTTTTAATGCAGAGGTTTTCTATGGAGGCATGGATGACATAAGCAAATAGTGAGGATGTATCAAATTGCCGCAGTTACAATCCTCGGCTGGTTCTTCTCTTCACATGTCGTTGACCCTCATCCGATGATAGGGTTACTTAGTTGCTATCATGCAGGGAGTTAACGTGTGTTTTACGACTAGACAAACTTGGACAGTGTGCCTTGTCCTCAGCAAGCATGCCTACGTATTTATATTTAATATGGCTTGGGGTAACCAATTTCCTACGTCCACACGACACACCCAGGCATGAAGGCCACATCCGAAGGAAAAAGATAAAGGAAAGACAGCGAAGAAATCTACCAGAAGAGAAAGAGATGGGGAAACGCTACATAGTTGCCTAGCTCCTCCAGTCCAGAAGTACAGTGTGCTGACTGTCCCCTTGGCAGTACTTCAAATCTTGCCACCTGAGGTCCATTTCTCACAAACTCTGCATTGCATGAGCTCGGTCTGTCCATTATTAGGTATTGCCTGCCGAAAGTGAAAACCCTCTGCACACTAGACACACTCAGATGTATGGGTTACACTCATACGCATACGTGGGTCAGCGGGACCAGTAATTGCTGGGCTGGGCTACGTTGTCGATTTCCTGATGTCAAGCTCTTTTAGCTAGTTTACTCAGAGTGTCTGAGAGGGAAAATAACGTTTTAGGGATCGCGAGATTCGACACTCGCTACTTTTCAATGCCTTCACATTGTGCAAACAGGTGGAAGGTGGTCGAGGTTCGGAAGTCAGTTGTAATTTTCATATTGACTTGTTCAGGTGGGTTTCACACCTTAAATTTTAAACACAGTAATTTTATCAACCCATTCATGTCGCTTTTTGCCCAATTTCTTCCGTGGTGTTGCGCGCAGAAAATGTTGTAACAGACAGAAACACTCACGAACCAGGTATATACATTAACCCTTTCTGTGCATACACCGAGGGTAAGCAGGTCTAGCAGGCAATAGGAACAGGACGTGTCACTACAGTTTTCATCCACACATGCACATGCGCCCAACTATCATCTTCTAGTAAAACTCCATCCAATGAATCATTATAGTTCATCCAGGGGAGCATCTGTAGATACCAGGTCTCAGAGGCACACAGCACCAGTTGTATCACACTAGGTTCAACCACTGAGAGAGGTGACAGATCGCCACCGAAAATTATAAGTGGAGTTTGCGCTTGCGGCAAAAGTTAAGCATCTCCGAGCTCTTTCATTGTAGCTACCTTATGAGATGCTTCACGGTGTCCACCTCTTGTAAATACATCTTTGCTCTACTCTAGGAGAATGGCTGCCTCTTCTAGAATGTTGCTCAAAGACGTCGTGGCTGCTCTTGACGCACTCACCATTGAACAGACCAAAGAACTTGTGGTTCGTTTCGGAGTTGAGCTCAAAACTGTTCAGGACATTGAGAATGAGCACAAAGGCAGCAGTCGTAAGATCCTCACCATCCAGGCCTGGCTGGACCAAGACACCCAGGCCAGCTGGGGAAAGTTAGTCTCTGGCCTCCAAACACATCAAGATGAACAGTCTTGCATTGCAAGTGGCCTCCCAGCATTGTCTCCAGTCACCTGGAGCTGCCAGTCCTTCCACTGATGGTCACCAGCCTGCCACAGTCCGGTCTGTGGCCACACCAGCTCCTGCTGCCCACTCTCCTCCTCCTCCTTCAACTGATCCCAACCAGCCCACCTCCCCACCTCCTAGTGATCGCTGCCAGCCTGTGGCTCTCAGGAGTGTGGCTGATGTAAAGTCTGCCATTTTTCACCTCAAGAAGACCTTCTCCAAACTGGTATCTCGTACCAGATCAGAGATGTGTGCCAGGGAGAGCCAGGAACAGGAGTTTCTAGACGAGTTCCGTGATCATCTTCTTCTCCTCCCTGTCTCCAAGAAAGCTGCTCATGTCAAGTTTTTCCGTGAAAATGAAGACGACATTCTCGAGGCAAGGAACATTCGAAAACTGTTTGCCATCCTGAGTCGCTACTTGACTTTCCGAAACTACGAGATACTGCAAGAGATCATCACCTGGTTTGATGTTGCTCCACTGCAACAGAGCATGCAGGAATACTGCGGGATGCTCATGAAGTTCGAAATGTTAACACCAGTCGACGTCTATATTGGCGCTGTACCAGAAGAAACAGATGAAGCAATGAAGTCGGCATTCTCACAAATGGTCTTGAGGATCGAAAAGCCTGCGTCTGAGTGTACACTCTATGACCTTCGAAAGCTAAGTGAATCAATCATCACCAATTCAGGTCTTAGCTCTCACAGTGTTTACCTCGGTGGAGTGGCCAACAAGTGTGTGGAGGTGGTGGTGAGGTTTCCTCCCATTGTGGTGGGCTGGGTGCTGGCAGCTCTGACCCCCCACTTCATGACCACCCACCATCTGTCAGAGGTGACTGTGGATGGCAGCCAACTCACCCTCCTACCGGACCACAGACACATGGTATGTAGATGTGTACTACTTGTATGTGCATTTTATTTAGGAGGTTTTTGTGAATGTACAATTACCAAAAAAATATGTTGCACACTGATTGAGAGTTAGTTATGTTCGTTGGTGACAGATTGCTTTTCATTCTGTGCAGAATGATGAGCTGATCAGAGCTGTTGAAGAAGGAGATCTGATGATGGTTGCATCTCTACTCAACAGTGGAGCTGATATCCAGACTCTCAATCGGGTTAGTCATCAGTATGAGTTCCTGGTCTTGTACCTAGCCTCTTGTAGCAGTAAAATCACCTTCCTCATGCAAACTAACAGATCATGCCGAACTGCATACATGGAGTATGTGTAGGTAGTTGAAATTCTCTTGAGGAAAGTGCAGCAACTAATGCTATAGTGGCTGTAGATCTGTTGTATCAACGTTCCCTTGGTGATTTCGCACAGACGTACGAGTGGGAATTTCATGGCTGGTTTAACGCGATGGCTCCAAAGTGATGTTTAAGTAGTTAGACATTGGTTGGTGATGTATCTACACCTAATGTCTGTACGTTTGTACTTTTAATGATTAACCCTCGGTGCGCATGCGCAGCGAGGGTAACAGTAGTTGATTTGTCTGTCTGTGTGTGTCTGTGTGTCGACGCCTATTCTAGCACTATACAGGCTACGAGGCGGCCCATTAGCGATACCAGCAGCTTCAGAGCTACACGAGCCTGAAATATAAAAGGACGATTTTCCTGAAACGACTGCTTTCAAGAGCGACAAACTGGCATGGTCGCGGACCGCGTTGCATGGCCCAACCAATCAATAAGTAGTGCCAGGGGCGTCGGAAGGTTCAAGCAAGTGGTACAGCCCTCTGTTACTCATGCGCGCGTACAAATTGGGGCGGGGTGAAAGCTGCGCAACGGCACACGGCCCTAGCTCCGTAAAGACTCAGCTAGGTTCCTACACTAGGCCATGAAATTAGGTTGGTGGCGAGTCCCGGCAAAAGTGGTACGGCTGTCGCCGTAATGGCCGCGATCAACGCGGAATGCGTTCTCACCTCGACCTGACCCACTTGCTCTGTGTACCTTAGTGGCACAAGATGCCACAGCGAAGGGCATGTATTGACTCCCGCATGCTATCTACTACCGTAGCTAGCCCGTGTCAGACTCTCCGCGAGCTACTAGCGGGAGACCGCGGGTTAATGCCAATAGCCTAGCCCATCATTAGTGGTACAGCGCATGCGCAGTTCGCCGAGGGTTTGCACTTAAGTTTTTACGCACTTGCCTCCTTACACCTGGGAGTTGTACGTCATAATTAATAACTGGTTTCTCTTCCATAGCAGAGATGTTGAGGTTTTCCTTTCTGGCCTAGTGGTAGAGTAGTGTTGCGGATTTGACTATCATGCTAGACCCTAGACCTTTTTCCCAACTCTTGCTTTTCCGTGCATTTTTAGTGTTATGACCATGTGACACAGAGGGGAAAGAGGGAATAGCAGATGGCATTAAATGGGCAGAGTTTAGATTTTGTGTGTGTAGATGTGTAGCGTAAAATACTGTAGCAGGTGGCAAGTTTTGACACGGAGAGCCAAGGCTGGATGTTTAACTTGGTCTACCTCGAGATTGACACTTTGAGATTGGGTGGGAAGACTCACTGAACTCCTGGTTTAGCTGAAAGCAATCGTGAAATTAACGAGTTCGGAAATCCACCCACTGAGAAATGTTCGAGCTAGACAATTTTTAGTCCCTATTCAAGTCATACACGTGCACTTTGTGTCATAGATTCGGTCATCTGCTCACCCAATACCATGCTGGGAAAATTTTTACCATTCCGTTGCTGTTGCGTTACATTAAGATTTCTTTGTTCCATTTTGGTTTCCTCTCTGTTATGTTTTTACTGTTTTTGTGATGTCTGCTGTACTCCCAGCCACATTTACCATTAGTTATTCCTCATCATCCTAGTGTGAATTTAAATATAACGTAATTACTCATATCCCCTCTCCACGTCATAGAATTTTTCTGTTCCCAACAGTACTTAGAGACTCCTCTGGACCAGGCCAGCTACTATGGTCATCTCCAAGTAGTTCGTCTGCTGACTGGCAGAGGGTCAGAGGTGGAGTGTAGGGACAGGGTGAGACAGTAGCAAGAGCTCATGTCATGAAATGATGGTAGATTGTGTGGTCATATCATGGGCAGGGGAAACCTCTGATTAGGTCATTCTCATCTATAATGACACCATACTGTTCAGAGACTCCAGCTGCAAGGAGAGTGAATGTGGCAGTATATAAGGGCTCTATTTAGAAACAGTGTTACTAAGAATGAAAACTAAATGGGACCCTTGTCCACTTCCCAATAACTAGTTGGTCTGCCATTCCAGCTGTAGGTCTCCCTATCTTGGTACACCACACTCACTACCACTGCAACACATTTTTGGCAAGTAAACCGGAGAGTCACACGCATGCAGTGCTAAATTTCCTATTTACAATTGCGCAAACACAGTACTAATGAAAGTGCCGTCATCACTGGTTACATGGATATGGAGAAATCATGCATTAAAACAGTACGCTCCCTTCACTTGCCAGCTAGTACAGTACATCTTACCTTTGTTAGCCTGTTCACCCCTGGGGCAGGGTGATGATGTATCTTCTAAATGAGCATGTATGTTACCATGGTAATAATGAGTTATGTCAATCACACAGAGCGGATTGACACCTCTAATATCTGCTGCGGCTCACGTCATGTGATGTAGTCATTGAACTACTGTCACTTGGTGCTGATAT